AAACACTTTCGATTAAGTCACCTTTTAAACAAAAAAGATTAAATCAAAATCAAAGTTCAAAATTTTCATATTTGTTTCAGTACCAAAACTACAGACACAAGCGACCCTTAACACCTTTCGTTTACGGGGTAAAAAAAAAAACAAAAATGGGATATAAGTTAACAAATTATTTTTTGTTTATTTAAGTAATCGGTTGTTCTGGAGTCAACAACTATTTTTACATTGTTTTTATTACGTTTTATTGCAGTTACAACTTACAACTAAATTTGTAATTTACCTAGTTGATTTTATGCATTTGATCTTCTGTTAATCATTTTCTTTATCTATAAAAATATAGCGTAACAAACTTACTTATCTTCTATCAGTTTTAAAATTAAGATAATTAGGGATAAGAATATCCTTGTCTGCCACTGTAAGGTGATTAACAGCATATGTTAACGGAAATTTGTAATCAAACAAGTTTACTGCTTATACCTATACTTGGGAGTATAACGAATGAAAACTGTTCATTTAACCTTTCAAGGACTTCTATGATCCTGGTTCAATTAATTTCAGAAGTTAATATTGTCAACGTTCCTGGATTTGTTGACGATAATTAAAATTTCCTGTTTCCATCTGATCGTGACTGTATACGGAGAATAATTATTCGAGTTCGTCGTCTAACCTATCGGTGAAATTCCTAAACGTTTTTCTAGTAATAATCGAACAGGATGCTGTTATTAACAGTGAACAAAAAAGAACATAATTATGACCTGTTATCTAATTTTTAATTGTTTCTGAGCTTATTAATAATCACTTGTCTGCTTAAAAGAAATACAAAAACGACGACAGGATCATTAAAAAAACATAAACCACGGAAATCACTTATTGTTATGATAATTGTTAAGGCACGAACGGAACAAAAATAAAATAGTTGCAAAAAACATTAAGAAAAATAACCCAAAAACTATAAAATCCTTACCTAAGCTGCTATACAAGTAAGGCAAAAAGTTCACCGAACGTAGAAATTACACGTTTTTTTTTTTGTGGGCATTTTTTTCTTTTGTCACACGAGTAAAAATGCATAACTTAATTAGTAAACGTTTGGAATATATTTTCTCAATCACGTCCGTCTGAAAATATGTACCACCAGCTTTTCTTTAAACTATCCTAAACTAAATTAACTTTTTTATATTTTTGAAAAAAGCGTAGTACCCCCCCCAAACCTTTAAATTGCATTAAAAAATCTTTTAATCTTCGCAAAATCAAGACAGTTTTTATACTGACGAGTAGTGTTGCCCAAACGCAAGAACAAGACGAGACTTAGCCAGTCTTGGTCTTGGTCTTGCGCCAATACACCTGGTCTTGGTCTTGGTCTTGCGCTCCCAGTCTTGGTCTTGGTCTTGGTCTTGCAGCAAGAGTCTTGCAAGTCTTGCAATTACCTATTAGTCTATTACTATTTATTAAAGTTTACTTTAAATCCTAGAAAAACGTATTAGAATTGGAACATTGTGAGCTTGAATGAATATAGCCATAGTAAAGATCAAGCAGATTAATAAATAACTGAAGATTTGATAAGAAATTCGAAAAATCAACTGACCTATATGTCGTTTTCCATGGAAGTAACTGTTTCTTAATAAACATTTATGATCCTTGCTTTCTACCGCGCCGCCTCGCCACGTGCCGGCTCTATGATAAGGATGCCGCCGCAAATCAAACAATAATATAAAGCGTGTAAAAAAATTCGAAATTATTTTGCATGAGTATACCTACACCCTATGGCGGCAATCAAATAGTGTCAAATGTTATGATTTCGGCGTGGCGGCAACGATTGTTTTAGATTTCAAAAGAAGCCGCCGGCGCGTGTATCATAACCATGTACTTCCGAAAAGCGGCAAATTTCTTTGAGAAGTAAGTACAAAACCTTTGATGCCGCATTATCAAAGTGCCGATGGTTAAAACATAACTATGCATGCACTCAGTTTGATTTTAATAATTTTTTTATTCGCTATGTTTATGGTATTAGTCGTAATGCGCATAGGTCCAGTTTTTCATATTCTTTGATACAGTTTTTTGCGTCTCATAGAATTCCTAAGCGTACCTACCTATACACCGAACTGTTACACCTAACTACTCAGTGAAATAGCGCTAAGTCCTAGCTGCAAGACGCAAGAGTCTTGCAGGCTATGTCTTGTTCTTGCTCAAGTCTTGCACGGTCAGTCTTGGTCTTGGTCTTGCTAAAAATACGCGGTCTTGTTCTTGGTCTTGGTCTTGCAAAAACGCAAGAACAAGACCAAGACTGAATTTGGGCAACACTACTGACAAGACTAATACCGAATGAACAACACCAAAACTAAAACCAAGACCAACTCCAAATATGCAAGACTTACCTATTATTATTATTTAAACTATTCGAAACAATTTTAATATATTCTTTTTTCCAACAAAACATTTTTAGTGTATGAAATTTTCAATTTGCTTTACCAGATTTTAACACTAAATATATGAATAAAATTTACCACTGTTTGAAAGAAGGAATCTACAAGGATGTCCTCGGAGTAAGTGTTCTTTGTTCCTATGTCTGGATAACTCATCATAACTCATTCATAACAGTCTTGGTTTGATCATCATTACTCCTTAGCAAGTATTAACAGCTAAATCTTTTTGAAATTGTACAAGTAGAAAACTAAATTTTTATGACAACGCACAATTTACAATTTTCGATTGAAAATGATAAATTTACCGTAGAAATAATAGAATTTATTAGGTAACTTGTAATAATCTCAATTTTGACATGTTTCTTTAAAAATTACTTCAAGTTTCTTAATTATTACAATTAAATTTGTAATATCAACTAAAATACCTAGTAAATTTATTTTTGCTGGGATTNTAAAATACCTAGTAAATTTATTTCTGCTGGAATTTTATTTTTACAAATTAGAATCCAAATTGTATTATTTATTATTTTCGCTTGCGAAGCAACGGGCTAGTGGGAGAAATTGAAAATATCGCTTTAATATTTAGGTAAATTTTCCTTTTTTTATTTTCTCCGTATAGTGCCTGCCTATTCAAAAAACTTTTTGGGCAAAAGAATGATGAAACAAAAACCAAACAATATCTGCACTGGCAGATTATTCGTAAGGCAAAGTAGGCACATGTCTAGGGCGCAAGGTTAAAAAGGGGCTCGTGCGGAAGTTTTTAAACTAAAAAAAAATAGGAAAGTATCTGCTTCCAGGGCGCTCTCCACATTTAATCCGTCTCTGTCTATCTGCCTGTATGTCTAAAAAAGAGTTGGAATGAAAATCGTTAGGAATGAAAGGAGTTATTTTGACATGTGTTTTGGACTTGCTTGATTCGAATCGATTATGTAGAAGCCGAGATATAACTTGATCTTAAGAAAGACAAAAATACACGACATGCACGACATCGAGCAAAAGCTATTAGGTACTTAACAGAAGTTTTCATAGTGTTGGCGTACGTTAACGTTTCGCCATTGGTTAAGGACCTCTTCAGGGTTAACTGGTGGTTATCGAGTATTACATCGATATTACCACAAACAAAATAAAATGATGAATTTAGAATGGATTATTAAAAGGAATTTGTTTACATTTGCTTGTGTGAATTATTCATTATTTTGTGATCAGAATTATAAAACAGATTTAAAGAGTGCAAGAACTTCTGTAATTACAAGAACTGAATGAAAAATATTTTATTCGAAAGTACATTCCATGCATAATCAGTGGTATGTAATTCATTTTTTATATTCTTTATACAGTGTTAATTTTGGTATTTATTTTTGTCCTAAATTCATGTACCTATCTACCTGCAAGAACGTTAATTAAATTGTTATTCATTTGTTTATTTTCAACAATGAAAAAAAATCTGTACCTAATATAAAAAAAAAGACGAAATTTTGTTTGCTCTGTTACCCGCCTTTTCAGGAAAACATTTTTCTATCGGTAATAATATTGTTACACATTCACAACCTTGACTTATAGTCTTTGACGTTTTTAAATGTTACATTATTTATCTTAAACAGACGATTCTCGGGAAAAGCCGGATCAAAAACGCACGTAATAGATTCTATGAATTCTTGATATTTCACCGCTATGCTGGAATTACAACATTAAATGTATTTTTAAATAGCAATTTGGACGTGTCAACCAGAATCAAATTGTGAACCATGTAGTTATATAAGCTTTAGTATGAAAATGTGTATTATAAAGAATTTTTTATCTTTAGGATTCCGTTTTACATTTTTGATCATCATCATCATCATAAGGTCGACTGGTTGGACACGCACCTCCACACTTTCCTATCCTGAGCTAATCTTCGCATTTCCCTAAAACTAGAACATCCCACATCCTTAACTATTTGCGAACAGTAATCTAATTTAAGTCTACCTCTACTCCTGTTTCTGACTAGACCTTATTGACTTCCACAGAGTCCTCTGTTCTCCTATTTTTTTCTAATACCTCTTCATTTTTAACCATCTCTATCACCACATTTCGAACGCTTCTAACCTTTTCTTTTCAGCCGCGCCCACCGTCCATGTTTCGCACCCGTACAGTGCCGCGCTTCAAACATCCAACTTTAACAATCTTTTTCGAATTTCTAAATTAACCGTTCGCTAGTATAGAAGTGACTTCTGTTTATTAAAGGCGCCTCGACTGTGCTATCCTCTGCTTTATATCCCTACTACTTCCTTCTTTATTTTTGATATGGAACCCAAAAACCAAAAAATATCTTCAATGCTCGTATAAAATCAGAAGCGTCTTTTTAAAAAAATTAATAGCTAAGTCTTTTAAAATAAATTTCTGAGTGTATTCTTTCAATTTATTATTTTTTTTTTTTTAATGTAATAAAAAGGATGTTTTCAAATTAGTATCATGCTCCGTCTTCCCTGTGTTTGATTTTGATAAAGACAGATTTTCTAACCATAATGAAAATCTTAGATGACATTATTACATGTCAACTAAATTTTCCAAATTCTCATTTTTATTGTTTATTTTTTTTTTCAGTAAGTTTGGTAAAAGCTCAACGGGGTGACCTCCCAGTAAACCAGGCGTGTTTAGGTTGCCTTTGCGAGGCAATCTCAGGCTGTGATTTAAACAAGAAATGTTCCGGAGATGTCTGTGGTCCATTCCAAATGACATGGCCCTACTGGGCTGACGGTGGAAAGCCTACTATCAACAAAGAATCTCCTGACTCACCCACTGCCTACGCTAATTGTGCTAATGATCCTTATTGCGCTGCCCTCGCTGTACAAGGATACATGAGCAAATACCAACAGGTTCGCAAATCAGTTAAAAACAAATTACCGCTAAAGACTGTAGAAAGAGTACCTTTACTGACCGAGCCTTTGAAAAAATTACGAAACTTTTAGTATTTTCCAATTTTCAACTTAAAATACCTACTTAACATTAACCAACCCTTAATTGTGTTGTGACGTCATAATTCAAATTCACTTTGCAAATGATTCCAATCAGTTTCAACATACCTTTTTACTAAGGAGGGGACAGACAGAACACTTAGAACATTCTCTTTACCTTTAATTAGTTCTTCCCCCTGACGCCGGCCATTTTTATTGCTCTACTATGACGTAGGTCGGCCATCATTCTTTTCTAATTGTTGCAGTTGTCGGCCATCATTCTTTTTCAATTGTTGTCGCATTGTCACTGATGTCGGCCATTATGGTTTTTAACAGATGTATAATAATCAATGATTAAAATTTAAAGGAATTGTTTGTAAATAGGTATGCAACACATCGCACACTTCAGCATAAGAAATTGCTGAAACTAACTTTCATTTACGTAATACTATGCTGACAGCACGCATAATTTTTTTTATATATAATATTCCCATTTACAAACAATATATTTATTTGGTTTTGTTACGATATTCTCCATCATGTAGTTCATTTTAATCACATTAAAGCCTGACATATGGCAGCTGCCTTCTGTAACGTCATACTGTATGGAGGTAGATTTTCGCTTGTTGTTTTGGCGGTAATTTAACTCGTTTAAACATTCATATCTTTTTTTTACAAAATTTAACGCTTTCCGGACTTAAACGAATGTAATAGATGATAGCACATTCTCAATTTTTATCAGTAATCATAGGCTATCAAAGACGCAAGCAGAATTATCCTTTACAAATTATTTTCTCTTACAGGATTGCAACGGCGATGGAAAAATCGATTGTGATGACTTCGCAGCAATTCACAAAATCGGAGGCTATGGATGTCGTGGTGTAGTACTTCCTGACCCATACAACTCAAGATACCAACAGTGTAAAAAAATTGTTGGAGGCGCTACGCAAGGCTGAATGAGACGTTCTCTTAATTAAATTAAGGTCATCGTGATTCGCAATTTAATCGTTTAATTAGTCGGACGTTTTAAAGTTTGAAACTTGGTTGTAATAAAACATTAAGTTATGCTTAATTTATATAATTAATTACGTGATGCTGATGTAAACGGTAGTGCATTCTCATGTCGTAAATAATAATTACATTATTTGATGGTTTGTTTTATTAATTATCGCCAGAAAATTTATCAGGAACTACTACAAGAATTAATAACAATCGCGGTTGTTAAATCACCTTTTCTATCTATATTAAGCTAAAAATTTAAAAATCCCCGACAGTGGCGGACTAAAGCTAAAGCGAGGCAACATTGTTTTAGGTAGAGGTACCCATGTAGTAATTTTACAAATTTTTCGAAATGAAAATCTTGTCTAGATATAGAGATGAGAGGGCATATTGTAAACGATCTCCAATTTTAACATATCAGAAAAAGACTTTAAGGATGTTTGGGAGGTACAATCGGAGACAAGAGTACATAAAATTAGAAATTCGTTATTAATTGGGTTTTGCAGCATAGAATGAGGTAAATAAATACTATCTATACTAAAAAAAAAATGTATACGGTTTGAGAGAAAATTTGGAATTTGACCAAAATAAGAAATAACGAATAATATGAAAAATTTTTAACTGACTTTTGGCAGTGAATATGCCTTGATTTCAACTGCAACAAAAAAAAATTAGTTTCAATTTTTGTTAATAATGAGCGTAAAACTTTTTAATATGTTTAAATAATAATTAAAACTTTATTTATTGCATTTATTTCAGACAATTATAAATATTATCATTATATTATCAAGT